GAGAGCATTCTGTTGGCCGCCGTTCTCGCTCGATACGATCAAAAGCGTCTCATTCATCGTCCGTCGCCTTCCCCCTTGGGATTGCCTTCTGAGGACCAATACTGGTCTCCTGATGAATGAGGTCGGCCTGCGTATTATCCTTATTACTATCCGAGGTCTCCTACTCCTCAGCATCACCACTATGATCGGCTACGTCACTCTGAACGTACTTAGCATCGACACATTCCGGATCATGCCAGACGTTCTCGATCCGTGACTTCGACCCGCTCTGTGGCTCCTGACCAGCCTCCTGAGCTCTTGAGACCTAGGGATGCCCCAAAATGTTCTCCCCCAGAACCTCAGCTTCATCCCCTTCCTGATGACCAGATACTGGCTGATCTCACTCAGCCGCTGAGATCATCCTCTCCCATGTCGATCTCCGATAACTCGGATTCGGGAGACCCAAAGCTTGATGTTCCAGACATCGACTATGAGCCTTGGCGCTCGGGTTCTATTTCTCCCACTGAGGGCCCAAAAGCTTATTTGGAATTGGTGACCAGGATGGCCTCTGTGCTTCAAGTCCAGGGTTCCACTGAGTCCCCTGCTGTGACCGATGTTGTTCACAAGCTGGTTCAGACCGACCTCCTGCCTTTTACGGTCCTGCCTCTGCTGCCAGTCCACCTTTCTGCCCTTAAAGAGTCGTGGGTCTTCGATTCCCCCGGTCTCCAGACGATACGAAGCTCTCTATAAAATCCAAGAGAACTCGGGGAAGTTTCTCTTCAATCAGCCTCCACCGAATTTGATGGTGGTACATTCTTCCTCGAAATCGAAGCAATCTGCCCGCCACTCGGTGCCTCCCATCGAGAGGGTCACAAGGTCAATGCTATCGCGAAGAGGATGTAATCCTTCGCCTCTATGAACCTTCGTATTGAGACATGCTTTTAATGTGGCTAATGCAGTACATCCTGCCTTGGAGTTTGTTCCAGAGGAACACGGTCCCATGTTGTCAGGGGCTTTGTCGGAAATGTGTACGATCTCGAAACAGCAGATCAATTCAGTCCGTCATGCTGTCACTTGCTCCTCAAAGGTCCTTGTCTCCTCCGTTGCCCTCCGTCATCATCCTTGGCTAAGAGGTACCTCTTTACTGCCCGATGTGAAATTTTGGATTGAGGACCTCCTGTTTGATGGTGAAGGTTTCTTCCACTCCACCACTGACGAGGCCTTGAAAGCCGTTGATGATAGTCAGAAGCAGACTCGGAACCTGGGTGTCTCGACCTCGACGCCTCGACATCGGGACCGTTCTTGGAAGCCGTATTATGCAAGGTGCCAGCCGTCTCCAGCGCCCACCTCCCAATGGAGAAAAAGGCCCTATGACTCCCGTCGTTTGAATAGGGCATGCCAGCAGGCTCCTAAAAAACCCCAGCAGCCCAAGCAGTCCGTTTGACCGCTTTGATCGCCTGCCGTCTCCTCTGTCATACACTCCTCCCGTCCGGACCCGACTCTTCCCCTTTCTGCCATCGTGGGAAGCAATTTCCACCGATTCCTGGGTCCTTACCATCCTACGGGTCGGGTACACCATAGAGTCCATTTCGCCTCCCGACCTACCTCACTTTGTTATCCCCCCCCCCCCAGATCCTCTCCTCCATCTCGAGATTTTGGCGCTTCTGGCCAAGGGCGCCATCGAGCTCGTCCCGGAGGCACAACGAACCCTAGGCTTTTACTCCAAGTATTTCCTCGTACCGAAGAGGGATGGTGGCTTCAGGGCCATTATGGATCTTCGGGATCTAAATCGATACGTTCAATGCCACAAGTTCTGAATGGTCCGTCATGAGGCTCCTGGGGCACTTTGCGTCTACTGTCTTCGTCGTCCGTCATGCCAGGTTGAGGATGTGTCTACTCCAACTGTGGCTTCTCCATGCCTTCGACCCTCTCCACAGTTTGTGGCACAAAATCTTGTTGATCCCACCCCTTGTCGTCGACTCCCTCGCCTGGTGATCTCATCCTCAGCACCTGCTCTCTGGCTTGCCCTTTTGGCATCCTCCTCTACAAGTGTCGATCTCCACAGACACATCCCTCTGGGGTTGGGGAACCCATCGTGGGATTTTTTCAGCTCAGGGGACCTGGTCTCCTCGCGAGGCCACCCTTCATATCAATGTCCTGGAGCTGTGTGCAGTTCATCTCGCTCTCCGCTCTTTCCTCCTGGTGCTTCGAGGCAGAGTCATTCGGGTTGCCTCTGACAACACCACCATTTACTACATAAACAAGCAGGGCAGGACTGCCTCCCTTCGTCTTTGCCAGTCAGCCATTGATCTCTGGAGCTGGTGCCTCCGCCATTCTATCACGCTTTCCACGATACACATTCCAGGCGTTCAAAACATAGATGCCGATCAATTGAGGCGCTCCTGCTCGTCGGACAACGAATGGTCTATCCACCTTTGCCTGAAACATCTTTCTCGAGTTCGGTCGCCCTGTCGTCGATGGCTTTGCAACTGCAGACAATGCCCGGTGTTGCCTGTTTTTCAGCCGCGGTCTGCCATCTGCTCAGTCTCTGGGAGATGCCTTTCTCCACACCTGGAAGGGAACCCTATTCTACTTCTTCCCTCTGTTCCTCTTGATCTCCCGTGTTGTTTAGAAGATTGTGGCCGATGCCACGTCGTGCATCCTTGTCACTCCATGGTGGCCGCGCCAAGTTTGGTTTCTGCACTTCCTTCATCTCTCCAACCAGACGTTCCATCCGCTGCCTGTCATCCCCGATCTCCTCGGGCTCGAGGAAGGATCCTGCACCCTGATCCGGACTTCTTCAGATTGACAGCCTGGAAGATCCTGCACTAGACTTCCCACCTGAAGTGTCTGAAGTCCTCCTGAATGCCAGGAAGCCCTCTACCTATACCACTTACTCTTTGAAGTGGAAGAGGTTCCAGTCATATGCCTCTGATCATTCTTTCGATCCCATCCAGTTGTCTCTCCGTGAGATTATTTCCAACATGTCTCATTAAAAAATAATGACCCTGCATACTCGTCGTTAAAGGTCCATTTAGTGGCCATCTCTGCCTACCATCCCTTGATACAGGGATCCACAGTCTTTTCCGACCGTCTTTCCCCTAGGAAGCCTTTGGTGCTTTTCGTGGAGTCTCACTCATTCTCATTCAACTTACGTCCAAGCCATTCGAGCCCATGGCTACGGTCGATCTCAGGTTGCTCTCCTGGAAGACGGCCTTATAGCGATTACTACTGCACGCAGAGTAGGGGAAGTAGCTGCCTTTCGGGCTGATCCCCCCTATACAATTTTTCATACGGAGAAGGTTGTCCTTAGACCAGATCCTTCTTTCCTGCCTAAAGTCAATTCTGCTTTTCAGCTGTCCCAGTCTGTCTAACCTTCTTTCTTTCCAAATCCTACTGATGCTCCTCAGAGAGCCCTCCACTGCCTCAATGTGCACAGAGCACTCTCTTTTTATTTACATAGGGCTCAGCCTATACGTAAATCTCCTTGGCTGTTCCTTGCCTATGGCCCCCCTCGTAGGGGAGCCAATTTCTTCTCAACGCTTGTCTAAATGGGTGACTTCTACCATAGTCCTTTGCTATGAGCTTGCATGTCAACCCGTTCCTACCTGTGTCACTGCCCATTCCACACGGGTGGTGTCGACATCCACTGCTTTCCTGGCTGGTGTTCCGCTGGAGGACGTCTGTGCAGCTGCTACGTGGTCCTCGGCATGGACCTTTATGACCCACTACACACTCAACGTCCGAGCTCGACAGGATGCTGCATTCGGCCAGTCGGTGCTGCGATCTCTTTTCGTTTGACCCTGCTGCGTCCCCAGGTAGGACACTTGGGTGTTTCTTCTCACTGATGATGCTGTGTCTTAACCAGTATTCTTTGTGTTTTTTGCAGCGGCCAGCTCCCTCCTCCAACTGGTTCAGCTCTTGTAATCACCCATGTGTGGGACTGCACAGTGACCATGACGAAGATAAACAGGTTGCTTACCTGTAACTGATGATCTTCGAGTGGTCATCTGTGCAGTACCACAATCCCACCCAGCCTTCCCTACTGCTGGCGTCTCCTGTTTACCTTTCTTTGGCTTGATGGGACTTACTGGTAGCGGTCGAAGGAACTGAGTGGGAGGCGGCTCTTTCCCCCGCTCCAGGCATGCGCAGTACGTGCCTGCTCCCCAGGGTGGGAAGAGAGCCGGCCAAAAGCTTTCTGAGGCAAAGCTCTAGAAGTTTCTCCGGTCGAGGTCATGCGCAGGCGCCCAACCCATGTGTGGTACTGCACAGATGACCACTCAAAGATCATCAGTTACAGGTGAGCAACCTGTTTTTCATTCTACTATAAATTGTTCTAGGTTTCCTTTTTCAGTTGTTCTGACTGGGCGTTTTATTTTGTTGTTCAGTCGCACAGTCGAGTCTAACTCTTCGCAACCCCATGGACCAGATCACGTTTTATTTGGTGCTATACAATTTGTTTGGCTTTGATTCATGTTTGGGGGATTGTTTCTCATGGAGCTAAACTTAACCTCTGATTATTGTAACCTAAAAGAGACCTTACTCCTGCTAATTGACCTCTTTCATGGTCCTAAAAAGAACCAAGTTAAACTGTATATATCCATTCAGTCTCTCGTGGCACATTTGTGTGTGTGCTTTATTACCTCTCTTAGCAGATGGGAATACATTTTTGGCCACTTGTTGAATTCAAAAGGGCTGTTTTCTTGCCTTGCTAATATGGTGGAAACTATTGTGATTTGCAAATGGAGTCTGTAAGATACCGGCAAATTGCTTTATGGCTCAACGAAATGTATTTGGAGTACCTTATCTTTTTACACTAGGTAGCAATTTGATCCAGCAAAATCTTTTTGCTGCTGCTTTAAACTAAGTTGATGCTATCACTTGAGAGACAGGTGCATATCTCTTCATAGGCATTTATATGCAGTCGGTGTAGCGACTTTCCTTAGAAAGCTATGTGTATTATGGGTTGTCTGTCTCATAAATGTAAAGCAAAACTACTTTTGATGTTTTCTAACTTGTAGGAGCGGCAGATCCAGCTGATCAGAGAACTGCTCATGTGTGATTCATCAGGCAGTATTCAGCTGAGTGAAGAACAGAAGTCGGCACTGGCCTTCCTAAACAGACCTCAAACTTCCACGGGTGGAAACAAAAGGTAGGCTAGTCAGGTATTACCAGAATGTAGGATGACCTTGATGTAGGTTGCAAAGATAATAAACTTTGTGTTAGAGTTAGCGCAACACAAGAAATTTTAACATGCATTTGGGTAGCTTAAATGCACCTAAACTTAGCCATTCTTATTTAGCACTTTGTATGTTCAACTTTAAAGTTTCTTGATTCACAAAATTCCAGTTCGAATTCTGTCTTGGAAACCAGTTTTATATAACACTGGAGCATGGGGAATTCCATAATTATGCTGCAGGTCCTGTGCAGCATTGATTTGTTGAAACACTCTTATGCGGTGTAGAATCCAGTTCCATTATGCCTGTAACCCAATCTCTAAAAAAAGATTTTCCTTTAATATAGAAGTGCTAACCTGCATATCGATAACTGCGTCTGCAACGGTAATAAGCCTAGAAGTGGTAATGCCAGCTCAGTAGTACTTTTTCCAGCAACTGATCTAGTTTCAAACAGCAGTCATTTTTCTTGTTAGGTAAGAGGTTAGTTGGTCTGGATCCAACTTCAGTGAATAGTGGGAGAGTTCCTTTTATACAATTAAGCATGGAGTTCTACTTTGTGCACAAGCTGTCAAAGAAGGTAACACTTAGAAGTTATAACGAGTGACTGAAGAAGACACTAAAGATGCTATAAATGCTGCTACGAATCAATCAGAATGCATATACATTAAATAGAATATAGAGGTTATATGGTTGCTCTGGGAATGCTGTTTTGAGCTGGAGCTGGTATTGGTGCTCAGATTTAAATAGAAGGGTTAGTAAAGGGATGGGGGGAATATTGCATCTTGTAAACATTTTTGGTGAAATAATGGTGAAATAATACAAAATAATGGTGTATTGTGAAATGGAATGGTGAAATAATATAAAATAAACTTGGCATTTTTTTTACCCATTGTTCAGAATGAAATTATATTATGAGGGATTAGAAAAAGTCATCCAAAGCTTTGGAGCATGTGCTAAGTTTGTGCTATCCTGTTTCATGGAGAGGTTGAGAAAAATACATATAATTATATCCTAGGTTGTGTTTTGAATAAAGCCCTCTGTGTTCTACAAACTTTGAATGTGTGACAAGACTACATTATGCAACTGGCATCAATAATGCCTCCAATACCCAGGTTTTTAAATGACTTGGTCTCTTCAGCAAAGATTGGAGTGACAGAGGTAAAAATAGAAAGGTGAATGGTGGAGCAAGTGTGATAGGGCGAAGAGAGACCAGGGCCCTAGTAAACCTGGTGACTGGCAGCTGTGCAGAGCATTGCAAGTTCATCCTAAGGTTTAATGTCTGAACCCTTGGTAGACAGATCCAGCATGTTTTGAAAGGTCTTTCTGTGGTAATTTTTCATTTTTAAAGCCATCACCCACCAGCCCGGCCATGACAGTCCTACTGAAGAACCAGAGAAGCTCATTCCCCTTGCTTCCCTAAAGGTCTCTTTAAAAATAGCATAGCATGTATGTAACCTTGTGTATACCCTGAACTGTGTGTATGTTCTACACCCAATACACATAAATCCTGAAAAGGAAATACATTACGCAAATTATCACATCACATCTCTTTGCATTATTTATTTCTTTTTTGGAACCTTTTGAGGTTTTTTTGTAACAAGGAAAGTTGCTAATCTCAGTATTCCAACTTCTGTTGCAGACAAAATTGCAGGTGCACACAATGTATATAGTTCTGTTTAGGGTGTGGCATTCATTAACAGCCTGTGTTCAAAGGCTGAGCAGTTGGGTTAGTAATCATAAAGGCTTGATGAAGGTGGAGCCTGCAAATAAAAGTATTCTCTGTATGTTATGTTTTCTTTTTGTAGACTATCAACGATAGACGAATCTGGTTCAATTCTGTCTGACATCAGCTTTGACCAGACCAATGAATCGTTGGTAATATAACTGATCTTTCTTCACTTGTGTTGCTTTTTCAGAATTGTTCAAAGTCCAGCTTATGTGAGCAGAAGGGCACTTCTTTGAGTATGGGTTTTGAGTAGTGGAGGGGTTACTGCCAATTTCAGCCTTCCCACTGCAGACTCACCTATTGCATTGTACACTGATACCAAGGTCTCCACCCCTTCCACAAGAGTCTTTTTTGTGTGTGTGGCATGTAGGGGGCTACAGTGGGAAGGAAGAGGTAGAAATTATCCATTCAACAGACAGAGCTCCACTTAGAGTTCTTTTAGATCTAATCCTGTGGTTTTGTCTTAAAATGATCTTATGAAAATGTAACTCTGAGTAACTAGTTTGGTTCTGTCTGTGTGAGTTTCCCTCATGTTCATTATTTAACTTTTTGCTTCCAATTTCCACATGTGTTGCACGTGTAAGATCAGTTTTGCGCTCCCTGATCTGACAAGTCATAGGACTTGTAGTTTTTAAATTACAGATATCAGATTGAACAAAGAGCATGCATATAGTTTCATGGTACCAAATGCTAACGAAATTCTTCTCTCATCTCCAGGACTGGGATTCCACATTGGTAAAGACTGTCCGATTGAAAAAAAGAGAGAAAAGGGTATGTACTTCCTTTTACTGTTTATTGATGTCTATGATCCGATATAAAATAAAGGTTTCTCACACTATTGAATTTCTACACTGGTTCATCACGTAGGTCAAACTGACAAATATCTCTCACTTCTTGAGCTTGGCCTTCAAAGTGTACGACAGCGTACTTCATGGAATAGTCATGTTCCCTCCCTCCCCCCTTTCATTGTGAGATAAGCTTCCAGTGAGAGATATGTGTTCCCATTCTGTCAACGGAACATCTGTGTTGCCAAATTTGTGTATCTACTGTGCCACTTAAATTTGGTTTGTGCTCTATGTACAGCCATATTCAATTTGCTTACTTCAAATTGAAATTTTGTTCAAATTTCTAATGCTTTATAATTAGAATAATTTTACCAATTCAGTTTAATGGAATCCAAGATGGTAGTTAAATCTTCCACTGTTTTGTCTTTCAGGTTAATATAACTGGAAAGTTTAATTCTATTTCTCTTATATTTATCTGTATTTTTTTTGTATTTATTAAGCGGAATACAGATCAGAGATCTCTATTCAGCTACTGATACGGCTCAGCCCCCCAAAAGCTGATACATTTATTTCTTTTTTGCTTTCGTTTGGCCGTGCCAGCCGAAGCGACATGGAGCGGTGAGCTTTGTGCCACTTTGGCTGGGGCTGGCTGTCTTCACTTTCAGCTTGGTTTAAACCTAGCTGCAAGCGGAGGCCGCCCAGGATTGGCAGGGGCAGTGGGAGCTGACAGCTCCATGCTGCCCCAGCTGATCCTCCCTTGCCCACAGACTCCGCTGGGCCGCCCAGTTTAAACTGGATTGCCCAACAAAGCCTGCAAAGGAGCTGATCCTGCAGGGAGAACTCTCCTCACAGCCTCAACGAGGGCACTATGGGGCAGCCTGGTTCAAACTGGACTGCCAAACAGAGCCTGCAAAGGAGCCGATCCTACAGGGAGAACTCCCCCCAAGGCCAGCAGAAAGGAAAGAGGTGAAGATCTGAGATCTTCACTCCTTTCTGCTGGCCTTGGCTGAGGGCTGGCTGACTTCTCTTGCAGCTTGGTTTAAACCAAGCTCAAAGGAGACAGACCAGGATCAGCCGGGGTGGCAGGAGCTGACAGCTCCACGCCAGCCCAGCTGAATCCTCCCTTGCCAGCAGCTGAAGTGGGATCTTCAGGGCAGTCTGGTTCTAGCCTGACTGCCCAACAGAGCTTGCAAAGGAGCCGGTCTTGTGGGGCGAACTCTCTCCAAGGCCAGCAGAAGGGAGGGGGGGAGATCTGAGATTTTCCTTCCCTTTCTCATGGTGGGCTGCCCAGCAGAGCCCCAGGCGAACCTGCAACGAACTGGCCCCCTTCGAGTTCACTCGTGTGGGGCTTGGCTCACAAAAGCCATTTAAAGGGAACTTTCCCTTTAAATGGCTTTTGCGTGGCTGCACCACGCACAAGTGAACTCAGAAGTGGTGAGAGTTTAATCCCCCACTTCTCTATTATACTCTATGGGGATGGTCCCCGTAGGGTATAATGGAGCCAAATAAGTTCGGCAATCCTGATTATTTCCTGAATCCCAACATCAATTGGGATTCGGGAATATTGGGAAATACCGATATTTTTCAGATTCAGTATACCCAAACCTGAAAAATACTGATTTTTTTTGTACACTCCTAATCTGAACTCTGTTGCAAATATCTTTTTTACAGCGCTCATCCAGGCAGTTTATAGAAGGCCCACCTGGTTCTTTAAAGAAAACTCGTTCCATTGGTTCTACAGTGGACCAGGTATGTGGTTTGCAAAGGTTTTTGTTTTGTTTTTTTGCTTTATGACGTGGCTGTTACTTACAGTTTTAAAAAATTACTACACTTTTTATGCTGCCCTTCTTCCAAAGGAGCTTAGCGTGGTGCACATGGATTCCTTCCCATTTGTAGCAACCCTGCCAGTTATGCTATGTGGGGAGATATGCATGACCTAGGTATTTGAAGGCCTTTCAGTAACAATCTATGTGGCACCTTTGTTCAGCTAAGCATTGTTTATTAAATAGCTCACACACCCCTCCTCTAGAAGGCCTGTTCATGGGCTTTTCATGGCTGCCCCAGCCCTCTGGAATGATCATCCAGAAAATCTTAGGAATGCCTTGACCCTGTTGGAATTCCACAAGGAAAGTAAAACAGGAATTTTTATTGGGCCACTGAAACGCCTGACAGGAGAGAAGATTCAAGGACTTAATAGTCTCTTGGGACATTTTGACAGGGGTCTATTAAATGAGGTGCTTATTGCTCACCCCAACCCAGAAAGGGCATTTAAAAAGAATTTACAGTGAATCAGGCTGTTGAAGTGCTATTGATGAACTCTCCTTACTGTTGGCCAGCCAGCTGTGGAGCCAAAGGATGGTAATATCATTTAGCACACATTTAACCAGTTTATTTACCCTTCTAATCACGGGATTCTCTATTAAGTCTCTACCAAGTCTCTATTAAGACATATTTACTGTCCTGTACTAGAAGTTCAAGTTCCTCAGTTTATTTCCTGTACTCTGAGGTTTAATGTGTAGGCACTGAGAACCATAATAAGTATGCTCTAGTAACAGTAGAAATACCTTATAGTGCTTTTTTAGGCACTCTAGTTTCTCCTGTGGCATCTAATGCCTTGTTTTTAATACTTACCTTTGGGCTTTTATCTCTGTTCTCTGCAAGCCCCTTGATCAGGTTGATCAGGCTTCTGCCAAACACATTTTCCTGTCTTCATTAGGTGCAGCCCACCTCTTGTCTGTATTCCCCTGTTATTGAAGGTTAGGTCATCAATAGAAATGCTTGGATCCTAAGAGATCTGTAAGTAGAGCTCACAGAGTGAGGCTACAACTCTCTGAAGGTCCCCCCATTATATTCCTGAAGGTCAGGGGTTCACATAAGGGATACAGTTTCACTCTGCAGTTGGAGGGGGGAAATGGTGGGAATCCTCCCCCCCCCCCCCCCCCCCCCCGCATCCACTGACAGAAGTGCCCTTCTGTTCTAGAATCCAAGTCACAGTCCTCCATCTCTGGCTATATCCTTATTTTCACTGTGGAGGCTTTTATTTTTGAAGCCAGAGTTTCTGTGCTGTGCAATATGTCAAGTAAGTGCCTGAGGCTGCACTAACTTAGAATGGATTACAGGTTCCGTATGCTCAGGAAGAGAGCCTCTTATATATCTCCCTTGACTGCATCTTGCTACAGTTAATCTCTCAGATGTCTCATTTCAGGGAAACGAATCAATAGTTGCTAAAACAACCCTCATGGTACCTAATGATGGAGGCCCAATTGAAGCAATCTCCACTATTGAAACTATACCTTGCTATGCTGGAAGTCGTAGGAAGGCAGGTAAGTGTCTGTTTTCAGATTGTCACATCTCTGCCATCCCCACTGTGCTGACTTCCTTCCCTGTTGTGTCTCTGCTTGCAGCTGTTCTTTCTTCTTTATTTCTTCCTGCTTTCCTAATGCTCCCTCACTCTGTTTGCCCTTTTTTCCCCTTTTGCTGCTTCCTTTCTTCCCTCCCACCTACCTTATCTAGTTTTTGCTCCCTTTCTCTTCTCTCCCAGCCATTGCTTTCCCTCTCATTTGTCTGCTTCTGGACCCTTCACTTCCTAGTGGGGGGGGGGGTCTGTACGACATGGATGCCATTTTTGGGTTGCTGAAGCAAACCGGAAACGTTACTTTTTACTGTTTCAGGGTTTCCTTCCATCCCTTTTTTGTTTCCAGATCTTTCAGCAACTGTGAGGATTCCCTCAAGTTTGTAGAAACATCTCCCATATCCCTATTATATAGTTGTTTTGGTCCATAGTTCCAGGCTGAGAATTAATAGGAGGCACTTGACTTTCTTGTGATCTCCACCTTTAATCCATGCTTTCCCCCCCTTTTGCTATAAAGGTGTAGATACAAATGATAATGACTTTCTGTGATAAGATACTCCAATGTTGCTGGTTGTGGAAAGTACCATCAAGTTGCAGCAGACTTATGGCTCTGCCATAGGATTTCCAAGGCAAGAGACATTCTGAGGAGGTGGTTCCCTATTGCCTGCCTCTGCATAGCGACCCTGGACTTCCTGGTGGCTTCCCCATCCAAGCACTAGCCAGGGCTGACCCTACTCAGGTTCCAAGACCAAACAAGATCAAGCTAGCCTGGGCTGTCCAGATCAGTGTTGTTACCAAGGTTAAACAGCTCATATTTAAATTTATGTTTCAAATTTGTTATGAGCAGGGGTCATTTCGTAGAAAAAGAGCTAGGGGAACTCATTAGTACAACTCATTAGCATATGCCACACCCCATGACATCACCGGAAGTGTGTCATGAGGCCACACCTCCTGACATCACCGGAAGTGTGTCATAAGGCCACACACCCCGCCCCCAACGGTCCCGGCCGCCGCCGGCCTTGCAGCTTCACTGCCGAGCCCCATGAGGGGCACGGCGGTGGACCAAGCCGGAAGCAGGGGGCGGGGCTTCGTCATGTGCCCCGCCCCCTGTACCTTGCCCGGGGGAACTGCGATCCCCCGCGATCCCCCCCCGAAATGACCTCTGGTTATGAGTATATTAAGAAAAGATTTTTCTCAGCCATCCTTATGTTGTGTAGCTTAGTTCCCTTTTTAAGTATCACTTTATTTTGTAATATACAGCAGAGACAAACACACTGATATTTCCTTGTTCTCCTTAAATCCATCCCACATGTTTGTTCTATATGTGCTATGATAAGGATTCAAGAGGTGCACCAAAAGCAGGCCACTAAATATCCTTTCCTCCCTTCTGAGCCTCTCTGCTGGAAAAAGGCTCTAAAATCTTTTTCTTGGGGGAAAAAATGAAGCCCTAATTATTTTAGTACTAGAAATAGGATATGAAGAAACACAAAATTGGATGTTCTTGGAATTTCCCTTTCTGGCTGCATTAGCCAACCATTGCAAAAAGCAGCCTCATTTTACTTGCTGAGAAATGGCATGCTCCATAGGTTAAACTGAAGATTCCCTTCTGGCAGTTTTAGTCCCTATGTCAAAAATGGAATGTAGGAAATGGCTCTTTTTTCTTTGTCTTCAACTAAGGCATTCTACAGCCCTGGACCAGTGACTCAAGCCTGGGAAGCAGGCAACTGGAAACCAAATCTGAAGTGGATGGATCTAGCACTCCTGGGAGCATTGGAATAAGACTACATGAATTTGTATCAAAAACGGTGAGTGGGCAGGCAACAAACTGACTCTGATTACCTTTTTAATGCTTTTGACAGGTTTACTAGTGCTAAGAAATGTACTTATTTCCAGGACAAAGTCCAAGTCCTGATTTTTATCTTCTAACCCCACCCCCCCATTGTTTTGAGCATATGATATCTACAGGAACCCCACCTTCTTTGAATTTACTGCTCCCAGACTGAGTGTTAGGTGGGGCTCTGCTCTTGGTCCTACCATCTTTTTGAAAGTAAGGCCATGAGGAACAAGACTTTCTTCTGTTAATGGTGCCCTCTGGCCACATGCAATACTTTCTTCCATATCAGGCCTGCTCCTTACATATATGCTTGCTCTCTCCTCTCTCCCCCTCACATCAGGTTATCAAACCAGAGTCATGTGTTCCATGTGGCAAGCGAATAAAGTTTGGGAAACTGTCCCTGAAGTGCAGAGACTGTCGGGTAGTGACTCATCCAGAATGTCGAGACCGCTGCCCCCTGCCCTGCATCCCTACCTTGGCAGGAACCCCTGTGAGAATTGGGGAGGTATGTTCCTATATGAGTGATGCCTTATACAGCCTTACAGTTGCATAATTTTATGTTGGATCTGGTAAGGAAAGGACTGAAGTTGAAGGGGGTGAAGTGTGAGACATGTCTGTGAAAATACTCTTGAGGTATTAATTCTGACAAGATGGAAGTGCTACTGGTGAACAGAAAATCTGACCTGGGACTTAAGGTGTCACCTGTTCTGGATGGGTTGCGCTCCTCTTGAAGGAACAGATCGGGAGTTAGGGAATGCTACATGGTCCTCTCCATCAAATTTCATGTCACACTATGCTCTAGATGTCCAAGCTCATCGGGATGCCTCATTTGGCCAGTCTGTGTTGAAGTCCATCTTCCACTGACCTCTGTCTTGCTGTGGTCTTCAGGTAGGCCTGTAACAGGTACAGGGACCGGGAGGTCATGTCTTTGCTCTGGCTGCCAGCACCCTCCATCCTGTTCTGCTTCAGCTCACTAATCACCCAAGTGTGGGACTGCACAGAGACCACAAAGAAGATAAACAGGTTGCTTAGCTGTAACTGATAATATTTGAGTGTGCAGTCACACACGCTCACCCAGCCTATCCCACTGCTGGCATCTCTCGATCATTTACCTTTAAGTTGATGGAACTTACCGGCAGTGGCCTGAAGGAACTGAGGAGGAAGGCGCTTTCTCCTCAGCTCCAGGCATTCACAGTCGAAGCTTGCTCCCTAGAGCGTGGTAGAAAAGTACACCAAAACATTAGAGGCTAGCTCTGATATCTTCCAGGGTCGGGTTCGAGCACAGGCACCAAGCCCAAGTGTGTGACTGCACAGATGACCACTCAAAAATCATCAGTTACAGGTAAGCAACCTGTTTTTTATGCAGGTGTCCAGGAAAATATTGATCACACACCTAAATAAGGTATGCTGATAATCATAGGTGACTGGAACACAAAAGCAGGAAACAAGCAGAATAAAATATTATTGGAAGATTTGGGCTAGGAGCATGAAATGAAGCAGAAGAGCAGCCCATAGAATTTTGTAAAGACAACAATGTGTTCACTACAGTTTCAGGCAACTGTAGAGATGACTGTATAGGTGGATATCACTGGATGGCCGACACAGAAATCAAATAGATTACATAAGCAGAAGATGGAGAACCTCTGCTCTGTCTGCTAAAACAAGACCAGGAGATGATTGTGGACAGACCATGAATTGTTAATATGAAAAATTAGAATAAAACTGGAAAAAGAAAAAAACATTCATCGCGCTAAAATACGTTCTAAATAGTCCTGAAGAGTTTAAAGACTATGTAAAGAACAGATTCTCATTATTAACTTCAAGTGAATGGGAACCAGAAAATCTGTGGGTTGAAATCACAGATATTATTAAGGAAGAATGCACAAAGAGAATTCCTGTAGCCAATAGAAATGAGAAGCCTGAGAATTCCTGTAGCCAATAGAAATGAGAAGCCTCGATGGCTGACTAATGAAACTCTTAAAATAGCTAAAGATAGATGAGATGCAAAAGTTAAAGATGACAGAGAATCAGAAGCCTACATGCAGTGTTCCAGCAATTTGCATGTGGAAACAAAGAGAACCATTATAATAACCAGTATAAAGAATTAGAACAATTAAAAAGGAAGAGCAAGAGAGCTCTTCCACAAGATCCAAAAAATCAAAGGGAAATCTAAAGCATGTGTAGGCACACGGAAATATATTAACTGAGCAGGACAAAGAAAAGATGGGAACAATACACTGAATAATCATATAGAAGAGATGAAAAGATGAGATTCCTTCCAAGAAGAATCTTTTGAAGAAGATCCTGCAATTTTAGAGAGTGAAGTGAAAGCTGTGCTGAGAGCAGTTGGGAGAAACAAATCACCAGGAGTAGATGAGATATCAACAGAGCTATTTCCAGCCACAGAAACAAAGTCCATCAAAATGTTAATAAGAATATGCCAACAAATGTTGAAAACAAAATAATGGCCCACAGACAAAACAGTCAATCGAAATTCCAATTCTGAAAAAAGACATCAAAGACTGTAGCAACTATCAGACCATCATCTTAATTTCTTATGCAATTAAACTGATGTTCAAAATCTTACAACCAAAATTGTTACCATATATGGAATGAGAAATGCCAGATGTTCAAGCTGGATTCAGAAAAGGAAGAAGCCCTTGAGATCATATTTCAAATTTACATTGGTTACTGCAGTGTACGAGAGCATTTCAGAAGAAAATCAGTTTGTGTTACGTAGATTACAGCAAAGCTTTTTGACTGTGTGGCTCATGAAAACCTATGGGAGTACCTATACTCTGAACAAGAAGCTACTGTTAGGAGAAAGAGAATGTCTTCCAATTGACAAAGGTGTCAGAAACAGATGTATTTATCTAAATGCAGAAAATATCAGGAAAGCTGGATGAGATTTGCCTTTTGTGTATGTGTGTGTATGTGCTTGCATGCCTGGAAGTCAAGGTGACTTCTGGTGACCCCAGCTGGGGTTTGGATGTTTCAGAGAGGTGGCTTGATTGCTTGCCTCTGAGTCCTGATATTCTCCCTTCCAATTACTTGCCAGGGTTGGCCCTGCTTAGCTTCCAAGATTGGGCTTGTCTGGGCTATCCAAGTCAGGGAAGGCAAGCTGGATGACATTTAGATGAAGGTGGAGCAAAAATTGGTGGAAGGAAAGTTAACATTTGAGATATGCAGATGACACCACATTACTGGTTAGAAAATAGTGAAGACTTGAAACAACTGCTGATGAAGGTTAACGCCGAAAGTGACAAAGCTGAACGTCAAGAAGACAAGTAATGACTACTGCAGAATTACACAGCTTTAAAGTTGACAGTGAAGAAATTGAAATTGTTAAAAGATTTTCTATTTCTGGCTCAATCATCAACCAGAACGGGGACTTCAATCAAGAAATCAGAAGGAGATTGAGACTGGGAAGTGCAGCCATGAATTAGGTAGAAAAAATCCTGAAGTATAAAGATGTGTCGCTAGCGACCAGGGCCAAGATAATTCATACCACAGCACTCCTCATTAAGTGTTTTCCAGGTACTGCCAAAAAAAAGTGTGTTGTAAATAAAATGAAACCTGAACTTCTCCCTAGAGGCTAAAATGACTAAACTGAGGCTATCATCCTTTGGTCAATTTATGCAAAGACAAGACTCACTGGGAAAGACAATAGCACTAGGAAAAGTTGAAGGCAGCAGGAAAAGACGAAGACCAAACATGAGATGGATTGATTGAATCAAGGAAGCCTACAACCCTCGGTTTGCAAGACCTCAGCAAGGCTTGGTAAATGAAAGGGCCTTTTGGAGATTGTTAATGATGGCACTTAACTCACACACACACACACACACACACATATCCTTAGGCATGTTCATGGCCAGGTATAAACGGGAAGGGTACGCCAAACAAAAAAAGCAGGCTAGAAAAAGCAGGAAGAACAACTGAATTGAGTCTCGCCTCTTACCTTGCATACCTAAAGGCTTTTCAGGGGGACACTGAAATATTCTTATGCCGTTTGGAGTTCAGTAGGAAGAAGGTGATGTCTGTGATACAATGACTGTAACCTGCCTTGTAATACTTAGATAACTGGTATGCACACACTTTACGTCAGCCAGAGAATGTGTGAAATTTGTTCGGGGAGTTCTAGTGCCTCCCATATTGGCTCACAGAGTGGTTAAAACTACATATTCTTGCTTATCTGGCATATGGTGCAAAGTTCAGCGATAGACTCCCTTGAGCTTTAAGATTTGGCCCCAAAGTTCAGTTAAAAGCTATTTGTTCCCTGTTTTCCTAGACTGAAGATATGTGGTGGGTTGCCTCAAGGATTTAGGTAGTGTTATTGTTGAGGTCTCCACTGCAACCTGTACTTATATTTCTCAAAAGTTTCAGCTGTGGCAATTGTATAAGATCTATGCTGATGGGGAAAAAATCAATATATTTCTCTTTTTAGGGAACCCTTGCAGATTTTGTATCTCTGACTCCTCCCATGATCCCCTCCATTGTAGTTCATTGTGTGAATGAGATAGAACAGCGTGGGCTTCATGAGGTAAGAATGAACTTGAAAGGTTTGGACCTTATTTATAGAATTATTGGAATGAACAAAAAACAAATTCCATCAAGGGAACTTGTGCAATGATCACAGAAACCATCTTGAACTCCAGGAAGTGAATTCCACTAAAGTTTATGGGACCTGCTTGTGATAATGCCTTAAGGATTGTTGTTTCTACAGACAGGCCTCTACCGAATTTCTGGCTGTGACCGAACAGTTAAAGAGCTGAAAGAGAAGTTCCTTCGAGGGAAAACTGTGCCCCTGCTTAGCAAAGTGGAAGATATACATGCTGTATGCGGGCTCCTTAAAGATTTCCTTCGCAACCTTAAGGAGCCCCTTCTCACTTTCCGTCTTAACAAGGCTTTCATGGAGGCAGCAGGTAAAAATAATATAAAATGTGCCCTCCCCCTGTCTACAGCATGTCATGTGTAAACCTGGGCTTTGAGGGGGGGGGGCACATTGAGAGCCTGTAGAGCAGTGTTTTTTAATGTTTTTATCATATGCAGCCTCTGTTACTTTAGATGACAAAGATGACAGTATTTTTATCCTTGGCCTGGTGTAAGTTACTAAAGATCCACAGCAGGAACCCCGGCAAACAGCAAACCTACAAAAACAGTGGATTGCTTCACTGTTTCCTAACATCCTCAGCGAACTCAAACAGCATATTTGAAAGTGCCGTACAAAAGAGTTTAAACTCTCTTAACATGGACCAGAGAACCAGTGACTATATAAACACTCCATGTCCCTTATTATCTTGCTTTACTCTCTCATGTTTCTTTGTGGATCTTGTCATTTACAGTCCAGTCCAAACTTCATGCCATACCTGGTATCACATGGTCCTTCTGATCACTTCTGTGTGCTCTTTTGCAGCTAGCCATAATTGCTGTTACATCTGACCCAACACACGGTATGGTTTCTGCATGTCCTTCAAACCAGAACTGGAAACCACAATGGAACTGTGGCTTCTAGGGATGATGCCGAGGGCCGTGTGCCAGTTTTGGGTGTAAAGGCAACTATGTCTCACTACAAAAGGAAGGAAATTGTAGCACGTGAAGGGGAAAGGAAGCGTGTGAGCCTAAGGTTTGCTCATGTAACACCATAATCTGTAAATTCAGTTAGTTTACGTGGGTAACATCCTTCGTTCTGTCACTGAGACTAAAAGATTTATACTGGGTGAAAGTTTAATATTACAATGTTAGTAGTAACTCCTGTTACTAGATTCAAAATGTAGACTTCTGTGCCCAACAGACACACTAATGCATGGGATATGAGACAAGCCCACCGCCCCCTCTTCCCTAATGGAGACATATTGGTATATCAAAAACGGTCAGAAAAATGCTGGGTTTCTGTTTTGTTCAAAGAAATCGTGGATGAGGATAACAGTGTGGCGGCCATGTACCAAACAGTTGGGGAGCTCCCTCAGGCAAACAGAGACACTCTGGCTTTCCTTATGATACATCTCCAGAGGTGAGTTCAGTTGGGCTATCCTGGCATGCTATAATTTTTTTTCCCTCCAGGCTGTAATATGCATTTGGAGGTTGGCTGACTTGCCATTGTGCCGTTTTTAGAGAGTTTCTCATTACAGATGTGCTCTCCTTAAATATTCCTGTTCTCTTGTCTAGAGTGGCTCAGAGTCCAGACACCAAAATGGATGTTGGCAACTTGGCCAAAGTCTTTGGACCAACAATAGTTGGGCATGCTGTCCCAGATCCTGACCCCATGACAATATTTCAAGACACAAAAAGACAAGCCAAGGTAGGACAGGTATATGGATAAATTGGGGCAGAATGTGAAATTTGGGCACATCCAAATGTGGTATAATGTAGTATCCATTTGTCTTTACCTCGCCTGTTCTGCCTCCTTGTGTAAGAGGGAATGACTAATCACATGTCCTTCTATAGGTTGTGGAGCGGCTGATTTGTCTGCCTGTGGAGTATTGGAACCAGTTTATGATGGTGGAACAAGAAAATATTGATCCTGAACATATCATTGAAAACTCCAATGCCTACTCCACACCTTGCACCTCGGATGTTAAAGGTAATCATGCCTTGTTGAATAGCTGGCCAAAATCCAGCAGCTGCACTAACAGAAATTCACTCCTTCCAACATCTTATGTTTACACACCAAGTTCTTGCTGCAGCTGCTAGTTCTAATCCAGACATTTGCACCTAATGTTTATCCATTTAGTTCTGACTTAGTAACACCTTCTTGCACTATCTCACATGCATATTCTGGGACCAAAAAAAGCCACAAGGTGGTGTTCGAACATGCTCATGTAACAGTAGAACTGCATGTCACCATGCTGCAAGTCTCCTTGCCAAGTGGAAGCAAGTGATCTTTACTGCCAAAATGCAGATGCAATGGTGAGGCATTACGTGCTTGCCTTACTACATGCTAAGTATCGAGGAAGGATGATTTGACATGAAGCTGCCGTTCCTGGCATCAACCCTATGTTTGTCGGTTAGGAGAACAGTGTTATTGGTACAAGTCCACATAAATCAGTTTTCCTTGTTACTGGATTTGAATTTTTTGGCAGAAAACTTACACATTTGGTTCAGTCGGGGAAAGGTGGTTACTAGAAGCACATTTCTTAGTGTCAAGTCGGGGCAGTAGGATGTGTGTGCTAGGCCTTCTTTACCTCAACCCAAAGGAAGATGTTTTATCAACACATGAATTTTAACAACATGCACTGCGTGGCAAATGTGGCTTTCTAGTCTTCCATGTCAATTTATATTGATATTAAGTCCTTACATGTTCCTTGAACCACTTCATAATTATTCCTCTAGTGCTGGAAGTAATTGATACACTGGGCTAAAAACACTAAGGGTAATGCCATGCCTCTGTTATCTTGTTGCAAAGTGAGCATGTTGGGACCAGTCACCACTCCGGAACAGCAAATGGCGAAGACTCCTTCAAGCAGCTCTCTGTCTCAGAAAGTCCGCTCTACATTTAGCAAGACCACTCCCAAGTAAGTTGGGATTCTTCGCCAGTGAATTTCTTTTTTTTTCCTCCTCTTCGTCCACTGAAACTCCTCGGCTAAGGTCTCCAGTATTTTAGCACTCACTGCAGCAAATCACATTAGCTAAGTGGTGATAGTTACTTCTTTGCTACAGAGGTGCTCAGCGACTTGCTTCAAAGTGGGTATAGTTTAGAGACTATAAACATTCCAGAGCAGAAGTGTGGTGATAGTGAAAATCACCACTTTGCTTTAGCACAGTGCTTTCTGTTGTAAGAGTCATAAAGTTCCCTTGTGGCCCTTTAAACACAACCTGCTCATAAAGAGGCTGTGATATTAGTTTAGATGTAGGTCTTGATAGGATGCAGGGTAACATGGATCTACTTTTGGTCAATGTTGTAGCTAGGAAAAGGTAATGTATCACAATTACTGTGTTAACTGCTGTGCATAATCCTGTATATTGTAGCCTCACCCAAAGATCAGTCTGGTAGTAAGTGTAGCTAGTATAGGGGTGTGCATTCAACCTATACCGAGCAGGAAAAAATATCCAAAAAATACCTTATTGGTATTTGCCGGATATAGAGCCCAGTATTTATTCAGCTATTCAAAAATGACTGACCCAAAAATATTCGGGATTTTTTGGGACTGCCGGATAGCTGAAGGTAAAGGGTGTTTAAAGGGACAGTGAGTAAAAGGTGATGAGCAGATTTACGCTTGCCTGCAGAGACTAATGGACCCAATTGGGTTCCAGAATGCTCTTCGGGATCCAAAGCTCCCCAGTGACTCATTTGATGTGCTGATAAAGGATTGGAATTCACATCTCTGAAACCATCGATGAGGTCACTCCCTGACATCCTCTTTGCTCCCACCTCAAACTAGCTCCATGGTACACCATGGAGCCTAGAGGGATGAAGTGGGAGCTTAGACAACTAGAGCAAGCTTGGAGATGGTCTTGCAGTGAAGACTGCTAAGAGGGAGTTCTTTGCAGCCTCCATTGCATTATCTAGCTTTCACCCAGTACAATTGTTTAGGATGATTAGATCATTAACTTCTCTCACTGACAGACCTAAAACTTTTAGTGATTCAACTTTAAGCTGTGAGGCATTTGCGAACTTCTTCGTGGATAAAGTCTTGTTGCTTTGCTGCAACCTGCCTGCCAGTTTTGATAGAGGCCCCTTGGCTGCATCTGGATTTGAAGCTTGACAACTTCAGCTGACTCTCAGTGATGGGTGTTGACAGGATTCTGAGTGCTGCAAGGCCAACCAACCACTTGCCTCTTAGACCCGTGTCCTTCGTGGCTGGTGCGAGCCAGCGGTGAGGCTATACGGGGCCATTGGATGGACATTATCAATCGGTCCCTGCATCCAGGGGTCTATCCAGAGGGCTTAAAAGAGGCAATGTTAACACCACTCTTGAAGAAAACATCACTGGAGCCTTCTGATCTGTCCAGTTACCACCCAGTTTCGATTCTTTCGTTTCTGGGAAAGGTAATTGAGAGAGCAACAGCAGAACAGTTTCCTGGAGGACACATCAGCAGTAGACCCCTTCCAGTCTGGCTTCTGCCCTGGCCATGGGAGACAGTGCTTGTTGCCCTCATGGGCGATCTCTGCAGGCAGCTGAATCGAGGCAGGTTGGCACTGCTGTTATTGCTAGAATTGACAGTAGCGTTCGACGCGGTTGATCACAATCTGCTGGCTCACCGCCTTGCTGATGTGGGGGTACGTGGCACAGCCCTGAAGTTGGTTGTCTCATTTCTCTGTGGTCAGGGACAGAGAGTAGCACTGGGAGAGAGTCTCCTCCCGATATCCTGTGGTATGCGGGGTCCCCCAAGGGGCCATCCTCTCCCCAATGTTATTTAACATCTTCATGCACCTTCTCACCCAGCTGGTGCAGCTTTTGGGGCTAGGTGCTGTCAGTATGCTGATGACACCCAGCTATACTTGTTGATGGATAGCCAGCTGGACACCGTCCCAGAAACCTGGCTGAGGGTCTGGATGCCGTCGTAAAGTGGCTAAAGCAGAGCCAGCTGAGACTGAGTCCAGCAAAGACAGGGGTTCTCTGGCTGGGTGGGGGAGATTCAGGACTTGGGCGCCAGCTACCGGCTCTTGACCACACAACACTAACACTGGCACAAATGGTCAAGAACTTGGGTGTGTTTCTGAATGCCTCCTTAGCAATGGAAGCCCAGATCACACATGTTGTCAGACTAGTGTTTTTCCAGCTATGCCAGATCCGGCAACTGGCCCCAAGAGCCAATTTCATGTAGTGGTTAAGAGCGTGGAGTCTAATCTGGGAGAAACGAGTTTGATTCCGTACTCCTCCACATGCAGCTGCTGGTGTGACCTTGGGTCAGTCATAAGTTCTTTCAGAGGTGTTCTCTCAAGGGCAGTTCTCGAGAGAGAGCTCTCTTAGCCCCACTTACCTCACAGGGTCTCTGTTGTGGGGAGGGGAATGGAAAGGGATTGTAAGCTGCTCTGAAGACTCTTTTGGATAGTGAAGGGTGGGGTATAAATCCAATCTCCTCCTGCTGCTGCTGATGTCTTTCTTCTGAACACAACACTCTTCGGGGGACATACCGGGAGAACTGGTCCTGCCTGTAATGCAGAGATGTTCCGCCAGCATACGGTTGAGGACAGCAATGGGGTTTCAACAGTAAATTGGCCAAGTGAATACCTCTCCCCTTCCTCCCCCGCCAACGGGGTGCACATTCATAATATGACACCATATAGGTCTATACACTATATATTATTTGTTTTAAAACCTTTGTATTTATTTGTACATATAAATTGATGGATTCTATTGATCCTTCTGTTGTGCACCGCTCTGATCCCACTTCATGGTTTAGACTGAGCTGCAAAGAGGAGCCAGCCCAGAATTAGAGGGGGCAGTGGGAGCTGACAGCTCCACGCCACCTTGGCTGGGGCTGCCTTCTCTTTGCAGCTTGGTGTAAACTGAACTGCAAAGAGGAACTAGCCCAGGATCCTCCAGAACTGTGTGGAATTCTCAGCTCCTGGTGCCCCAGCTGATCTTCTCTTTTTTCTTCTTCTCTGGAAAGATTCAGGAATCCCGAATGTTTACTGAATCTGAATACCATATCAGATTGGGTTTTGGGAATATTGGGAAATGCTGATATTTTTCAGGTTCAATATACCCGAACCCAAATAATACCATTCTGATGGGGTGGGGTTTTTTTGCACACCCCTAGTAACTATTGGAGCCTGCTGTGCATTTGGGCATTAAAGTAGCTCTGGTTGTGGGGGGAATGGTGTCTGTGTAAAGATCAAGAGTTTATTCACACTCTCCTCAATGTCTGCTGTACCATGTGAGTAGCTGAATGGCAAAGCAGATGAGATGGTCAACTGAATTAAAAATGTGGGGGCAGAAACTTTACAAATGTTGGCAGATATGCAGGAAGGAGGTTGCTCTTTTACAAAGTAGATGCTACGACATGTTCTGCGAACATCTTACTGAGACTTTCCTTTTTTCCCTTCAGATTTTCAAGCAAAAACAAGTCAGTGACCAGCCTAGGACGACAGGGCAACTTTTTTGCTTCTCCAATGCTGAAATGAAATATGCTTCAGTTCTGAATGTGTGCTTAGTTCGGTTATGCAGAGCTACAATAAAATCCTAAGTTGCTCCTTCGCTATCCCAGCTGCACTGTGTACTGCGATCAACTGTATACTTCTGTTTTCAGTTTAACTGTTTTTATTTGAATTTTACTGTGCACTGTAAAGTATCTGGTGCCATATCACATTTATTGTAGGGGAATAATTGGCAGAACCCACTCAGCATGTCACTAGGAAAACTGCAAGTTGTTGTTTTGAAAATAGTTTTCTGTAGCTGGAAAGCTGCCACCATCTGTTCAAAGCACCCCATTATTGTTTCATTTGTGGGTTATGGTTGGAAAGGATAGGCTGCATTTTGCACTGGCAGTAATCTCATTTCAAACAACAGCCGTAATCCTGGGAGAAATGAGTGCCAATCCATGGGACAAGGAAATGGCGCATGCTGAAACGACACTTGTACTTCCTTGGTTAGTCTATTTTTAGTGAAACCAATGACGTATTTCTTTTTAAAGTGAGTACACTCAGAACTCAGTCATGTGAAAAATTGAAACTCAGTGTTCCATAGTACGGACACACATTGCTGTACATCTGAGGTTCTCCCTTGTGCAGCACAGGAGAGTACCGAATAAATATGATACCAAATATAGTGTTTTAACTGTATGACCATCACCTATAGCTTTTGGAAACCTAGTTTGGGTTGTTTTTGACTTAACTAGATTTTGGTAAAAATGTGTTCAGTGGTAGAGGTGCTCTTAATGTTGTATCCATAGCAGTCTGGTCATAACTTTTTTGTATTTATAATCTATGTTTTATAGGTGTATTCTTAACACGGTCTATCAGTGGGTAAAGTTGAATGGATTATATTTTAAAATACAATGGACTGACTCATCCAGACTGGTTTTTCCCATAAAGTTCTCTCTTGCCAATATTTTGCAAAACAAGTTTGTAAAGATTGGAAAAATTCCTTAATTATTTAGATAGCTTGCTGAAAGAGTAAATCTTAACATGACTCCATCTTGGTTTATGGTTTGTTCAAATGTTTCCTATATGTTGTAGTAATTCTAGGTGAATAGTTGTATGACTTGATCCTGCCTTAATCTTTGAATGCTGCAGTGTTAGACACATGTGGTGCAAAGAAATCTGCATTTCTCCGGTGGTCCAGGAGTGGGGCAGTCCTTGACTCCTTACTCCTGGGAAAGCACCTCCCCCTTCCATAGGCAGGGCCGGCAAACTTTGATCCCAGAGGGGAGGGGCTTATCCTCTGATCCCCAGTCTTACCGGCCCTGCCTTCTGAGCAGGATGTGCTGGCTGTGCTCTGAAGAGCACGAAGATCCCAGAAGACACTGGAAGGTCAGAAGAAGAAGCGGAGACCTAAAGGGCAATGGTAGAAAGTATTTACTTTCCAGCCCTAAAATATATTCGAGAGCTGCAGGCCTCGATTTACAATGAATCCGGCGCTGGCAGTCCTGGGAGGCCCCCAGGCGGTCACAGCGTCGAGAGGAACGCCTCGGACCCCGCTGGGAAGGCGGCGGTAAACTGCTCTCCCCCCCCCTATCCAGCCGCGGCGGCGTGCAGCGGTTTTGGGGACAGACGCTCAGTGAAGAGCCT